CCCTGGGTAGAGAGGGGTGCGCCGGAAGGCTATTACGGCAGGGTATGCCGTGGGATACAGCGGAATGTTTGATTGATGATGAGAGCATGCTGATGTGGCATTGGACTAAGGTGGCACTGCATTGCGTTGTGGGTGGTACCGAGGTCATGACYGGTCATCAAATGCAACATCAGCTCAATTGGTGAGAAAATTTGTGCTTGGGGGCAGCTATCTCCAGGTATGTTGATCCCTTACCTTATCTACTCTCTCAATCTCTTCTTACCGTGAGGAAGTGAGTCCAACTTGAGAGTCCTCTCTTTTGGTGAGGTGTCTTGAGCGCGCTACCTTGAGAGACGACAATCTTCCCGGAAGCATCTGGAAGGAGAAAGGGCGGTGCCTCTTAAGGGCCCTGGTCGAAGCACTTGGGTCACGGTCACCATGCCAACCCACAGGGAGTAGTGCGCGCATGCGATGGCTGCTGTCCTGCCTTGGCACTTGCTGCGCTCAGATAGAAGTCTTGCCAAGTGTGCCAGCCTTGTATGAGACGCTTACCAGACCGTCTATAAACATTTCTGGTTGGGTACACAGAATTATTCTGGTTGTGATCGTCGTCCTGACTGCGACGTTAAAGAATTCCTGAAGAGATGGGGGTGCTCTATAAATTCCTCCTAATCAGCCAGATCATCCGTGTGTAAGGCTCGTTTCTGTACGAGGGTAAATAAGAGTGGGCTGGCTGGCTTACTTGGCTCTGACTTGGGCACAGGGGTGGGCCGATACACACATGAACACACTGCTTTGCTCAAGATGTTGTCCGGATGGTTGGATTGAGGGGAAGGGTAGGTTCCAATTGGTACTCAAGTGTGTACACAACTATAACCATCAATCATACATCTGCTACAATGTCTTTTTGTACCTTTGATTAGTTGGTTGACATACTGCTAACCTCACAGACAGATTAGTGTAGGACTGTTGTATGCTACCATAGCCAGTTCTAACTAATGTTGTTGTAAGTGAACCAATCAGGGTGCATCGAGACTATGTAGACAATCTGTGTGAATGTTGTAGACATGCCACTTGATTCGGTACAGTAGGGTACTCGCCGGACACAACCATTGTTAGAAAATTAGGTGCCGGTCGGATACATGTTGTGGTAGGATTCCACTAGGGGATTCTAGTGCAGAAACTATCTGCCTAACTAACGAGTGGATCAGATCCTGTTGATGATAGAGCGGACAATAGGAGACTTACACATTCAGAAGCATTAAGGGTTCCGCACGTGTTCAGGACCTTGGACGAGGGAGAAGGAAGACGGCTTCGTGCCGAACGTAGAGCCCGTGCTCTAGCAGCAGGACTACAGGAAGCAAACGGAGTAGCAAGAGAGCGGGCAACAGAAGCCAGAGCAGCAGCAATGGCTAATGGTACCAGCTCTGCTGCGTCATCGTCTGCGTCCTCGTCAGGGACTAGTGGGACTCAGTTGGGAATGCCACTAAGTTCCACGAGTTCCTCGGGCACTTCCGGTTCAACAGGGTCTAGACAGTCTTCTAGTCAAATGGCGGGCTCGCAGTTCAGCCCGTTGACCCCACGTGAGAGGGAGCTCAAAGAGATCCAGCACGTCGAGAGTCTCCGCCAGCAGTTTGAGGAGGACCTGAAAAAGGCAACAGATAGAGAAAGAGAGATAAAAAGTAGAGCGGCCAGACTTGATACGTTAGAGGCTGACAAGGCTGCGTTAGAGGGATTGGACGAAACGGGTTTGTCTGACCCCCTGAAAGTGTTGAAGAACAACATGTTGTCACTGCATGTGCACGTTGACAGCAGGATGGACTTCATGCAGAGCACTTTGGACCAGATCCTGGATGCATTGACGAAGCCAGGATTCCGGCCACCAGCACAATCACCGTTGCTGTTAACGGCGATGTCAGACCCCTTTCCCGTACAAGTTGGCACACAGCCAAGTGGTATGTCTGCAGCAGTCTCACAGACTGTTGCATCTTCTTCTTCGGGTCCAGCGGTGGTTGCTACACCACCGCAACAACCTGTTTCTCAACAGGGACAGCAGCAAGGTCAATGGTACCCCAAGACCCCAATGAAACCGCCTCTTGCCTTCTCAGGCGAAAGGAAGGACGAGGAACTCAACACATGGTTGAGGACGGTCCGGGTTTGGGTGAAGGCCAAAAGGACCTTGCCAGAGGATGAAGTGGTAACTACGGCATCTGACCTAGAGGGTAAGGCAACCAAATGGTTAGATGGAGTAGTTGTGAAGGCCGGGTATGGGCGACGCATGGCGGACAGGGCCAAGTCTTTGACTCTAGACCAGTTCATGGAGATGGTAGAAGCTCGATGGCATAACCCACAGGAGGCGCAAAGGGCTACTAATGCCATAAATAAACTAGACCAACGCAAGTTCCGGTCAGTTAGAGAGCTTACGACTACCGTTGAGAGCCTGATCCTAGTCCAGGGCATCAACTACAGTGACCAGTTCCTGTTAACTACTTTCATTAGATGTCTTCCAGAGAACATCAGGAACTTACTAGCCAGTGAGGCACGCACCGAGTACCACTCATTTGAGACATTGTCTAGGAAGGCTTTAGATTTAGAGGCCACGCTAGGCAATGCTCAACCCACCTCAGGAAATGACTCAAAGAAGAAGAAGAGTCCCCAGGAGTGGAAGAAGAAGGGGGCAAAGTTGATGATGGTGGAGTCCGATGGGACTCAAACTGAGATCGACGAGCTCTCTGACCTGGTGGACTATTCTGAGTATGACGGCGAGGAGGTAGCTGAGGGTAGCACCCTCGCCACGGTAGTTAAGACTAAGGCGGCAGGCCGAGGAAAGGGCCAGCCTAGGGGTCAAGGAAAGGCCGCCTCCAATCAGACCAAACAGGCTGATTGGGTAAAGGCAGGTCTTGATCGAGACGTGTGGCGTGACCGCCGAACGCGTGGTGCTTGTATCAACTGCGGGCAATACGGACACACGCAGTACAAGTGCCAGAACGCTAAGGTTACGCAAAAGATTGCTCCAAAGATGGGGGCATCTTACTCCCAGGCCTCAAGCTGGGGAAACGCGTAGGGCCAGTGGAAGTATTAGCCGCTTCGACTCAAGATGAAGTGGGAATTATACCCTCCCCACTTCATGAAAAGGCCAAGGCTAA